AGTAGAAAAGTCCCGGGAGAGCTCTCTGATTGAACAGTCCTTGGTCACACGCCCAATCCAGGGGCTGGAGGAGCAATCAATGCAATCAGTGATCCTGGGTGGATAAACAGCAGCCGTCCGTCCACTACAATCGCCATCCCCACGTGCACTGACATTCATGGGTCGCAGGAGAGGCTTTGCTGGATGGGCATGCAGTATCGACTAAGAGCTTGAGCTTTCCAGTCGGCCTGGGTTCAAATCCCAGCATTTCATTTACGTACTGCCGGTTTTGGATTAGTGGTTAACCTGTATAAATCTCAGAATCTTCGCCTGTAAAATGGTGAAATGCAATGTAAATGTAAAACCCACACGGTTTTTGAGAGAATTAAATGAAATATTAAATTATCACAGTTCCTGGTGTACAATAAGTGCTCAGTAAAAGTTAGGGAGGATGATGACGATGATGATGATGATTGATGATGATGATGATGATGATGATGATGATTCATTATGGAGTGCCTCCATTGGACAAAGGTTCATTCCAATCCAGCAAAATGCTGCTGACTCCTTTGTCCAGTGTGGGCAGGAAAGAGGAGCTGGTTTCATTCGACATACATTACATTGCCCAGCATCCCTACATGTAAAGACCCACTTGGGGCTGTTTTCCTCAGCAAGCGGCTGCAAGAAGGCAGGCTAATTGAACTTTGTAGATCCTTGTCATGGACACTAATCATACTCGTGCCTGCCCATTATTTTTTGAGCAGCCTTTTAATATTTGGGGAAATTTCTACAGTATGTGGCCCTTATCCCCCACAAAGAGGTGAATTCCTAGTCTCCCTTGTAGCTGAGATGCAGGCATGTGTGACATTGACATTACCAATCACATGCACTTGCATGAGACTTTGATTCAAGAGATCAACATGAGGAAAGAGGGTCTGTCATGAGCTTTCGTTCCATATGTGGCAGCAGAGCTGTCTGGCCTCTGGGGTAGGAGTGTTGCAAGGGTGAGCTTCCCGGGGCAGAAACGGATCGATGTACTCAGAGCAGTCCCAATTGCAGTAAGGTGCAGTACTTGCATTTAGTGCTTGGCCTTGGTGGCAGCAATGGCAACAGATTTCTCACTGGGCCATTTCTGAAGCAAGGCTTTGGCCATTATTCCAGGAAAATTAGCCTGGAAACAGTTTTTCCAATTCTCTTTATGGTAATGTGAACTACCTTCTATTCTAAAATGCATCCTTTTTATTGTTTGAACTAGCCAGAGTGGACTCAGTTGTTTGTAGCTAAGAAGCCTAACCAATACAGTTCCCCTCCAATGTTCTATTCTTGGGAGGAAATAGGGGAGGTCCACTTCCTCACATATGTTTACAAATAACAAAAAATATCAAACTAACAATTCTAAAAATTCATGTTCACAAGAGTATCAACTGATGGATCTGTGCACAAGAATTCAAAGAATTCAAAGGTTACGGGGAATTCCTAAATGTCGATAGCATCTAAAAAGTTGAATTCAGAAAACTTCCATCACCAAAGTATTAATTAATATCATAACTCTACATGATTATATTTTCCTAGAGAAAAGAACATGGGGAAATTCCAGTTTGATAGTTCTGCAGAACTACAGATGTTAGGGAAATGTCATGCACATTGTATTGTCACTAACTTGGGCTGCATAAAAGAATTTCCACACGAATTGCTTTCCAGACACTTTTCATTTATACCTTTTACACATCTGTAGCACTTAGAAATCTAGAGACCCACGTGGTACAGCTAGAGCAGTGGTGCATTCAAGGAAGCACAGACCATACCTGAGTCCCAGATATCACTCATGCCTCCACAAGAACAGTGGGAGGAATCCAAGGATAGAGTCCAGCCCCCCATTATCTCTTCTCCCACCCTCTCCCCCTCAATCTGATGCACAGCCCCGGATTGTTGCTCAGGCACCTTTCAAGATAATTGGAGGTTGTCCACATATGAGATTAATTGTATTAGAAAAGGCCACTTAAAATTTACTTACAACAGGCTTCAAATTTCATAGCAGATACTAAAAATTTATTTAGTATTTTATCTTCAAAAATGAAACTAAAAATTTAAAAATTAAATTTAGTTTGTATTTAACAAAATTTCATTTAAATTTGCAACTATGCACCAGTTCTCATCATGAACAAAGAACGAATCAAATGTGAATTTCTTAGCATAATTTTCCCTACAAAAATGCATTCCAGCAAAATACAAACATCCTTCCCTTCACTTTCGACTTTCACAGCATTATAACGGAGAAGATTACTTTTGGAAAAGTCTTACAGGGCTTCTTCATTTTCTCACAGGCTTCTCTTCAATATTTTGGCATTAAAAATTATTCTTTTTTGAAGGGACTTTTGGTCAGCAACCTTCTTTAGTTTCTCTCCTTCAGCTGTTCACTGCAGTAACTCATCCAGGTCTTCATTTATCAAAAAAGCCCATTATTCCCTTGCTTCTTTCAACATCACTTGCATCCATTTTATGAAAATCTGGATGTTTTAATTAAAAGTTCAGTACTGCACTATGGATTGAATGTGCATTATATTTAGACTGCATTTTCAGATGTTTACAAGGTTGATAAATTGACCAGAGACTAACCAACAAAGATGTTGCCATATTGGGCCCAGCCAGATGCTCATATTATGCAGCAAGGAATGTTTGAGTGGGGTCTAATTTTATAAGTGGTCAGTTCATTAGGGAATATTTTCATATTCCCATGACTTTGATTCTCTGTGCAACCTGGTTAAGTGCAGAGACTGGGTAATGTATACTTTGGACAACAAGGGTCACTTCACCTACCACTCTACTTTCCTTTCGAGAATCTACCCACACAGCTTTTGTCCACTCTCTCTCTCCCCTTTCCTGCCGCCTGGAGCTCTATGGCTCCCTGCCCATTATACCACTTCTGCATCGCTAAAGCCCAGAAATTGGTCTCACAGAAATGCACCTTACATACACCTTCAGAATCCACTTGGGTCTGTCTCAATTTTAACACATTAAGCTTCTCAGGACATTTAAGGTTTATAATTTTGGTCAGAATGTAGTTCCAAGTCAAATATATGCTTCTAAGAGCAAATTATATGGGTTTGAGTAAACTTTGAATATCATATGGTAACATCAATGTCTTTCTGTGTGTGTCAACAACAGAACCATCAGTGTTTGAACCATAAGTCTTTTTTTTTTTTTTAAAATTTTTTTTTTTTTTTTTTTCCCCCCAAAGCCCCAGTAGATAGTTGTATGTCACAGCCACACATCCTTCCAGTTGCTGTATGCGGGACGCGGCCTCAGCATGGCCAGAGAGGCAGTGACTCGGTGTGCGCCCGGGATCCGAACCCGGGTCGCCAACAGCAGAGAGCGCGCACTTAACCGCTAAGCCATGGGGCCAGCCCTGAACCATAACTCTTTAGTGAGAATATGAATGCAGTCATCAGTCTATAAATTAAGAAAATATGGTTGTATATTTATGTTCAAATAGTTTTCTATCCATTTAGGCATGGTTTTTAATTTTAAATTTTGAAAACTTAGTTTAGTCCTAAGAATTAAGTATTTTCTGGCTATGATGACTTCAAATCATTACCAGAAAGTCAATTGAGCAATATTTTCACTTTATAATTTAAAACTATGACTTTTTAATAAAATATCATCTAAAACACTTATGCTATTGGATAGCACATTCTTGAAATGTGTGCAAAACAATCATTTATTTTCCTCTTTGCTGTTTTAAAACAATATTTATTGGGTTGAGGGTGTAGGTTTCAGGATATAATGTAGTTTGCCAAATTCTGTAATCCTTTTTTTTTTTTAATGTCACAGGGTGTGGTGCCTTTAGAGAATTTTTTTTAAGTTGTAGTTCTTGGTGTTTTTTTCCTTCACTTTTTCAAAATAGCAAGATAATACAAACCCCACAGGGAAATTCTGGTTCCTACTATTGGCTCCTGGGTTCCCCCACTATTAAAAGTCAGATTATTCCCTGGAGCTAGTTTTATGTTTATGTTCTTAACATTGTAAGCTCATTATTAGAAATGAAGTCTTGATATGTACTATTTTAATGCTTAATTTTTTTGCTTAGAAAGGTGAAAATAATTTAGAGGGAACAACACAAATGAGATAACCTAAATTCAGCTCTATCCCTCTTGTGGTGGTGTGGTTGTTGAAGATCTTAATGAATCCATTCTGTTCTTGTTTTTCTTTTATTAACCCCTGGTTATTTGGAAGCACTTAAACAAAGTAAAGGTTTAAAATTATTTTTCTGTAATTAAATAATGGAAAGACTTGATTCCACAGGCTGGAATTGTTCTCCTTAAAAAAGCAAATTCCTGTAAATCTTAGCTCATCAATACTACAGAAAGAAATTGTTGGAAAAGATCTTTTAAGAACAGAGAGATGCCAGCAAAGAAACACCATTTTCAGAATATAACTTGGGATAGTGAGATCTGATGATTCGGTTCTGTCTTCATCATGTGACAGTTAATGACAATGCACTCACAAATCGCTTGGCTGAAAATGCATTTCGAAATCCCCGCACAGAAACTATCCCCTTATTCTCATACACCGGTAAAAACAGAAAAGAATCTATTGAGAGAGCGAGTGTGTGTGTGTTTAAAGTAAGAGAATAAGAGGAGTTAAAATATGATAGAATCCCTCTTCTACTTTCCCTTTTCTTGCCTTAGGTCTGGATGTTTGAAGGAGACAGAAATAAAGAAGGAACCCCAGGTTCCAAACAGCAAGCGCTAATACTTTCTATTTAAAAGCAACTAGGGAAGAACACTCCCCAAAGCAAACCACGACCCCCACCCCCGCCGTGAATGGTCTGTGGATCCCGGAGCCAGGTCCCGCTTGGGTACCACTCGGCAGGGGGTTCCGCTTTCAGCCTTCTCCCACCGTCCCGGAGGCGGGATGGGGCGGAGGCTGCGGCTCGGCGGTGCCAGGGAGGAGCCGCCCGCCCGCCCAGGAGAGGAGGCGTCTCTGGCCTCGGAGCCGCCCCCTCCCGCCGCCGGAGAACAAACGGGATATTCAGCCGTGGCCTGCGGCTGCCAGAGCAACTCCTCAGGGGAAATTAAGCGTCGAGTCAGACGGCACCGTGATCGCCTTTATAAGCGCCCCACCCGCCCGCCGCGCACACCCGGATACCTGGGCTGCCGCGGCGCTGCGAGAGCGAGCCAGGGAGAGCCAGCCGGGCCGTGCGCGAGCGGGGCCGGGGCTCATGCCCGTGTGAGCCCGGGTGTGCGCCGGGGTGGGTGCGGACCGGTGTGAGCACCGGCGTGCGCGCCGGGGTGGGGCGAGCCCCGCGTCTCCACCGGCCATGAGGGGCGCGGGCGCCTGGGCCCCGCTCTGCCTGCTGCTGGCCGCCGCCGCCCAGCCCTCGCGGCAGCAGCCCCCGGAGAGGTAACGCGACCCCCGCCCGGGCCCCCTCTCCTTTCCTCCCCTCCCTCCATCCCTGCAGCGTCGCCCGCTGCTTCACTCCATCCGCTTCGGGGCGCCCGGGGACCCAGCGCGGGACCCTGCGCTCACCCGGGCCCAGGCGCCCCCGCGTGGGCCGCTCCCGGGACCCCAGGACCCCGCGACCCCGGGAGCACGCCTGCCCGCAGGGCTCCCTCCTGCGCCTCCGCTCGGCCCGTCGGTTGGCCCGCAGCTGGCCCGGCCACCACGTGGCGGGGCTTAATCTGACCTGCGTCTCCTCTCCCCGAGGCTTTCTGCGGGCGGAGGGAAGCTTTAGGGCCCAAACCTGTGGACTCTGGTTTACATCTCTTGTCTTCCCCCGGGGAGGCTTCGCCCAGAGACGGAAGCCAAGGGAAACAAGCCGAGTCGCGCGGCGCCCAGGGAGCCGCTCCCGGAAAGTTAACTCTTCGGCAGCCTCCGAGCTACGGGACGGCCCCAGGACCTGGGTGGGCCAACTTTGGCATCCCCTTCCACCTCCATCACCGTCAAACCTCCCTTTTCAATAAGAGGGTCTGCCAATGGCCAACGATTTTCAGAAAAGGGAAGGAGAACTAGGCATCTCTCCAAACCTAGGAAATTAAAACTTTTTTATATTGATCAATTGCTTGTCTTTCTTTAAAACCATGCTCCCCACACGGTCTAGCTGTCACCCTCTCTCTCCTCCCCACCCCCCAGTTAAATTTTCCATTTACCGTTTTCCTATAAGATCTTACCACTACGTGGAGGACTTGATTGCAGATGGATGGATGGATAAATAGATAGATCTTGTGTGATTATGATGGAGACAGATGGCAGCTGTACTGAGTGTTTTATCAGGCTATAATTTAAATATTCTAAGAGCAAGTATTTCAAATCCCTTATATGGTGCAGGTATTTATTAATCGGTATTAACTTTATCCATATTAATAGGCTACACCTTTCTGAAGTTGACATTAGATTGTAAGGCCATGTTTCAAATTAAGTTTCTTTTCCTCTTTTGTTTTCCCAGACCTGTTTTCACATGTGGTGGCATTCTTACTGGAGAGTCTGGATTTATTGGCAGCGAAGGTTTTCCTGGAGTGTACCCTCCGAATAGCAAATGTACTTGGAAAATCACAGTAAGCATTTTTTTAAGGGTTTTCTCCTGGAAGTGGGTCTTGGAAACGGTGGAAGGCTGCTGCTGGTGTCAGGTGTCTGGTGTCAGGTTTTGGGTTAGGGGCAAATGCCTGAAATAGTGAAATGCTGGATTTACCTCAACTATTTGGGAGACTTTTATTAATAGAACTAGTGGTGTCTTGCATTAGTGATTAGAAAGGGCACAAGATAATGCTTGAAGGAATCAATTCTTAAAGCAGATGTGTTTCTGAAAACCCAGCTTGACCCAGTTGAGTTTCATAGATTCAAAATTAAGGCTATTTTCAGTCAAAGGCCTGGTGTAATGACTTGTAGAAACTGTTTGTTGCCTGTGCCTTGCATAAATGTCTCCCAGGAGGAAATGGAAGATCAAAGATCTTCTGCTTTATACTCGTTAGGTGAAAAAAGGGAAAGGAAAAAGAAGAAAAAATCCTGCTTAATGTCCCTGACTTGAAACCACCACTACAGGCAATGTAAGAAATAGAGAAGAATAATACCCGGCGGGGGCGGGGGGGGTAGCTAAATATCAAAGTCCAATAAAATGCCCCTGCTGGTTGGGAATGGCATAGATGATGTTGAGTCAACATAAGAAGTCAGATTTAGAGGCAGCCAGCTTAAAAAAAAAGCCTGGAGTTAGAGTCAGCTAGATTGAGTCATCCTTCCAGTCAGGACAGTAGTGACTGCTATCTTCTTCATGGTTGTTGTTTGGTAATTGAATACATTGGCTTACTGAGAGCTTCATTCGGTCAGATTACGCCACCCACAGATTAGGATTTTTTCGAGTAGCTGCCTCTTGTTGAGCAGTTACTGTGTGCCAGGCACTCTGCCAAGTGGTTAACAAGCATAATCTCACTGAATCCTTGAGATCACTCTGAGAAAGTCGCTATTATTTGGTAAATCCAACTCTATGTAAAGTGAAACCTATTTTGTAATGAGGCATTCCCACCAAGAAGGTCATTTGACAGGCGGATATGAGGGGTCCCCCTCCTTACTATAAAACTTGGCTCCTCTATGCATTGATGCTCTCCTGTAAAATATTAACTGTCTGATGAACTGGTACCGATTTCATTATGTTATTGCAAGACATGGGGCCAGGAGAGAATCAGTCATAGAGAATAGCTTTGAAATCTTGGTATTTAGCATAAATGTGAAATAAGGCTCCGAAACAAACATGTAACTTGGTATTCATATTATAGTTGTGTTTCAGTTGTCATTAAATGGCTATAAGGTAAAAATGATCCAAGGAGATTAATGACTGAGAGGCATCATGTGCCTAACAAGCAGAAATTCATGGTTGACCACGTGTTTTGGGTATCGTGAGCGTTGTTGGTGTGGCATCAAACTTTGATGTCCAGTGAAGGTTTTCCTTGGTAAAGGAGTGGTGTGCCTCCAGAGAGGCCTGACTGCCTCATTCTTAGCGTGGGAGGAGGGAAGTGTAATGGATGCTTCGTTCGGATGCGCTGTAATGATGAGGCATGGGTAAGGCATGTGAGCTCAGCAATCAGACTTCCCTGGATTCAAATTCTTGTTCCATTACTCATAAGCTGTGCGACCAGGATTTCTCTTCTTTAAACCTCAGGATTGTGAAGATAAGATGAGATAACACATGTAAAGCCCTTCGGCTCAGTGCCTGGGATATAATAAGTGTTTAATAAATGTTAGCCATCACTGTTATTTTCATTATCCTCATTATTGCTGGCGTGGAGTTGTCCTTCCTTCTGCCCCATAGGCAATATGGCAGATCACTGCCACCACCCCTCCTCATTAGCCAAGCTGGGCTTGGCATCAGCTCAGAACAACTCAGGCTTCTACGAACAATCTACTTTGTCATCTATATCTAGGAAGACCTTATTTTTGTGCTTGAGTTCTACTGTAATCTTACTGGACAGATTCTATGTGAGTTAGGACTAGGTCAGCTTCCAGTAAGAAAACCAAAATAGCAGTGGCTCCAACAGAAATTTGGTTCTCTCTCACAAAATAAATCTGGAGGTAAGCATTCCAGGATTGGCATGGCAGCTTCACAATCACTGGACACCCAGTATCTTTCTCTCTCCCTGCTCTGCCACCCTTAGCATGCCACCTCATTGTCCAAGATGACTGCTCAAGTTCCAGCCACCACGTTCATGTTCCAGTGAACAAAAAGGAGGAGAAGGGCTTATATTCTCCCCTTAAGGACATTGTGCAGGATTACATGCAACTTGCTGCTTACATTTCATTGGCTAGTTCTTGGTTACATGGCCACTTCTAGCTATAAGGAAGCTAAGAAATGAATGTTTCATTTCAGGCATCAGTAGGCTCTACTAACGCTAAAATTTAAGTCTTCTATCACTGTGGAAAGAAGGAGAAACTAGCAGGCGACAAGCAGTCTCTGTGACATATTTATTTGTGGTTTGCCCAGGCTGCCTGAACTCATGTTCATGAAGTTGAGTAACAAATGCCAGCCTTTTTTGAAAAAAATATATTTTTAGAAAGCATAGGTAATGCAGAAGACAGGGCTGCATAATTTGCTTTTCAAATTTCAAAAGCTTTATAATTTTCAAGCGTAGCCAGATGAGTTTGTTCTATTTCAAGGGGCTGCCTCTCTTATATTTGCATATGAGTAGCTACCAAGAACTTCCAGAGGCGCCCAGTACATTCTCCTTGTTATAATTACAGCCTCAGCAGAATGTTCACAAAGGCCTCGCATATTCTCAAGGTCTCGCTTTGACAACTTCTTCATTTCTTTGTATTTCACAAGGAATGGAGCTAATTCATTTGTAAAAATCTTCGTAGTCTTTCTTCATGCTCCTCTGGTTTGTCCAGGTAGCAGAAGAGAGCTCGCCAGCTCCTCTAATTCCTGGGGGAGAGAGGAGGAGGTGAACTGTGGGAGAGCAAAAGCCGGTAGCCCTGAGTCTCGTTCATTCACAAATATGTGTTGAGTGCTGGGTACTGTTGGGGTTATGACAGCGAACACGGCAGCCAACTCCTTGCCCTCACACAGCTGGCATTCTACTTTGGGGAGACAGCCAATTAATGTTTAAACAAACAAGGAGACGAGAAAATATCAAGTAATGATAAATGCATTGTGAAAAGAAAATAGATACTACTTCACACACATTAGGATGGCTATAATCAAAATAGCCATGTTGGAAAGATGTGGAAAAATTGGAACCCTTGTGTGTTGCGAGTGGGAATGTAAAATGGTGCAGCTGCTGTGGAGAACAGTATGGTGATTTCTCAAGAAATTAAACGTAGAAGTCCCTTAAAAAGAAAGGGAATTCTGACACATGCTACAACATGGATGAACCTTGAAGACATCATACTAAGTGAAATAAGCCAGCCACAAAAGAACAAATATTGTATGATTCCACTTATATGAAACACTTAGAGTAGTCAACAAATTCATAGAGACACAAAGTAGAATGGTGGTTGCCAGGGGGTCGGGGGAATGGGAGTTAGTATTTAATGGGTACAAAGTTTCAGTTGGGGAAGGTGAAAAGGTCTGGAGATGGATGATCGTGATGATTGCACAACAATATGAATGTACTTAATGCCACTGAACTGTACACTTAAAAATGGTTAAAATGGTAAATTTTATGTTATGTATATTTTATCACAATAAAGATATTTTAAAAATAAAAGCAGTGGAATATTGTGTAATTCCACTTATATGAAATGTTCAGAAAAGACAAATCTGTAGAGATGGAAAGTAGGTTAGTGGTCGCCTGGGCCAAGGGATAGGTATGGGGAGTGACTGAATGGTCGTGAGGAATCTTACTGAGAGGAGGGAAATGTTTTAAACTGACTTATAGTGATGGTTGTACAACTTGGCATACTTACTAAAAATCATTGACTCGTGCACTTGAAATGGGTGAGTTTTATATTATGTAAAATATACCTTAAGAAATTTGTTAAAAAAAAAAAAACCCACACACACAACATAGTGGTGGGATGGAGAGTAGTGTGAAGCTATGTCACCTCCACTCTGAGGAGGTGACATTTAAGCTGAGGCCTGAATGATAAGGAGCCAACCATGTGAAAGTCTGAGGAAGAGCATTTTAGGCAGAGGGACCAGCAAGTGCAAAGGTCCTGGGATGCAAAGAAGCTTGATTTGTCTGAAGAACAGCAGGACGTCAGTGTGGCTGGAACAGAATGAGCAAGGGGGACAATGGGAGAGAAGAAGTAAACAAGATGAGCCGGGCCTGTAGGCCACGGTGAGGAGTTTGAATTTTATTTTGAGTAGGAAGCCACTGGAGAATCTCAAGCAGAGGGATGAGAGTATCTGATTTTGAAAGGTCTTTCTGGCTGCTCTGTGGAGGGTGACTTGTAGGGAGTTAAGAATGGAGGCAGAGAGATAAGTAGGAAGCTCCTATGGTATCCAGGAGAGAGAAAATGGTGGAGTGGACAAGGGTGGTCACAAAGGAGATGAACAAGCGTGGAATCTTCTGCCTGAAGCAGTTGTCTCAACAGTTCTGAATGCAGCTAGGGGGTGGTACACCAGCCAAGAGGCCAGATGCACCAGGCTGGACCTTGGTTGGCAGCTGCTCCAGACTGGACTGTGCTCTGGCCCCATCCAAGGCAGGCTCTTAAGGGCTTTCCCAAAGCGGGTGGATCCAATCCGTTTTTCTGCTCCTGCAGTCAGTAAACCAAGAACAGAGTGCCCACTGGGTGTTGCAAAATCACTTTTACTAAAACGTCACAGAGACCTGTCAAGGTGAAAGAGTCTCAGAGTAGCCCTCAAACTCGAGTTCCTGTAGCTGGAGAGAAATATCCTGCATGAGCTCACCTGCCTCTCATTCTGTTCTTCTGGACTGGAGGTGTGTCCTGCGAGGTGGCTTCACCACCAAGTTGTTTTTATAAACTATCAGTGGGGGAATGGGGAAGTCAAATTTTAGCATCTGTGTGCTTTGAGAAAGGTGAATGCTGGTCATCACAACCAGACTTTCTAGCCAATTGTATTGGGCTTGCTGGTATGGAAGAACACCGTGCACATTGGAAATTTAGA